AAAAAAAAAAAAAAAAAAAAAAAGAAAGCACAGAGTCATTGAAAACAACTTACAGAGCAAGCGGCTGGTACTAACTTTAACTCCCCCATTTCTTAGCAAATGACAGAAACTAAAATAAACTCGTTTGCTTGAATCTTGCCTTATTTGTCTCCCTGATTCTTCTGCGCTCCCCCTAATTTACCAAGGAGATTTTTTTTCTTTTTTTTTTTTTTTTGAGACGGAGTTTCGCTCTTGTTACCCAGACTGGAGTGCAATGGCTCCATCTCAGCTCACCGCAACCTCTGCCGCCTGGGTTCAAGCAATTCTCCTGCCTCAGCCTCGTGAGTAGCTGGGACTACAGGTCTGCACCACCGTGCCCAGCTAATTTTTGTATTTTTAGTAGAGACAGCGTTTCACCATGTTGACCAGGATGGTCTCGATCTCTTGACCTCGTGATCCACCCGCCTCGGCCTCCCAAAGTGCTGGGATTATAGGCATGAGCCACCACACCCAGCCTAATATCTATATATATTTTTAGAAGGAGTCTTGCTGTGTTGCCCAGGCCAGAGTGCAGTGGGGTGATCGCAGCTTACTGTAACCTCTGCCTTCAGGGTTCAAGCGATTCTCCTGTGTGATTTTCCTGAACAGCTGGAATTACAGGGGCTTTCCCCCACCATGCCCAGCTAATTTTTTAATTTTTAGTAGATACTAGATTTTTGCCAGATTGGCTAGATTTGTCTCAAATTCTTGATGTCAAGTGATTTATCCACCTGAGTCTCCCAGTGTGATGGGATTACAGGTGTGAGCCACTATGCCTGACCTTATTTACATACATATATATGTTTTTTGAGATGCAGTCTCACTCTGCAGCCCAAGCTGGAGTGCAGTGGTGTAATCTCGGCTGAATGTCAAATTCACCTCTGGGGTACAAGTGAATCTATTCTCTCACCCTCTCAAGTAGCTGGGACAAGAGGCATGTGCCACTGTGCCCAGTTAATTTTTTTTTGTATTTGTAGTAGAGACTGGGTTTTACCATGTTGCCCTGGGTGATCTCAAAATAGTAAGTTCAGGCCATCTACCCGCCTCCGCCTCCCAAAGTGCTGGGATTCCAGCTGTAAGCCTCCACACCCAGCCATATATTTTTTATATTGTCTGTAAAAGAGACTTCCGGCCCGGCGCGGTGGCTCAAGCCTGTAATCCCAGCACTTTGGGAGGCCGAGGCGGGTGGATCACGAGGTCAAGAGATCGAGACCATCCTGGTCAACATGGTGAAACCCCGTCTCTACTAAAAATACAAAAAATTAGCTGGGCATGGTGGCGCGTGCCTGTAATCCCAGCT